AACTGCGGGCTCAGGCGATCCACTCACCTCAGCCTCCCAAAGGCACGGGATTACAGGTTGAGCCACCGAGCCCGGCTAGCATTTCTCTTTTAATACATCAAGTTCAGCAGGGCTTTTTCCTTGAAATTGATTCCTATTTGAAAGGCAGTGTGAAAGAAGTAGATAAGACCACTCCCTCCAGAGTTAGACTGAGTTTAAAACGTGGCTCTTCCACTCTCTAACTGTATTACTTTGACAGATTACTTTTTTGTCTTCCCATCTGTCGACTGGGAACATAACCTACCACATGGGGCTATTTGCAGATTAATTGAGGCAGTGTTTGTTAAGGGCTTAAAAGAGTATCTGTAATATGATGAATGTTCAACAAATGTTAGCAATTATTGTCCCAAATAAAATTTGAAAGAAACATTCTGCGTAAATCAGACTAATAAAAATCTGGGGGGTTTTTTTGAATTGAAGTCTTATTCTGTGGTCCAGGCTGGAGTGCAGTGGCATGCTAACAACCACTGCAGCCGCGACCTGCTGGGTTCAGGTGATCCTTCTCCTTCAACCTTCTAAGTAGCTGGAACTACAGGTGTGTGCTACCACGCCCAGCTAATGTTTTGATTTATTGTAGAGATGAGGTCTGCCATGTTTTCCAGGTCTCAAACCCGTGGGCTCAGGCAATCCTCTTGCCTCTGTCTCCCAAAGAGCTGGGAGTATAGGCGTGAGCCACTGTGCCCAGCAAAATCCTGTTTTATTTTTTTTTGAGTTGGAGTCTCACTCCATCACTCAGACTGGAGTGCAATGGCACGCTCACGGCCACCCCAGTGTCGACCTGTTGGGCTCCGGTTATCCTTCCACCTCAGCCTTCCAAGTAGCTGGAACTACAGGCGCACATTACTGTGCCCAGGTAATTTTTTATTTATTGTAGAGATGAGGTCTCACCAAGTTGCCCGGGCTGGTCTCGAACGTGTGATCTCAGGCAGTCCACTAGCATCGGCCTCCCAAAGTGCTGTAATTACAGGCCGAACCACTGAGCCAGGCCCAAATTCTGTTTTAAATGGATATTTCAATATGTGTTTAAAGCTAAGATGCTTTAATAAAGGAGAGATCTGCAGTCACTGGGCACTGCTAGGAGAGGGAGAGAGAGTAGGGGCTCGTGACAACACAAAGGATATCTGGTTCACTACCAGAGGAAGTGAGGGGCAGTTAGAAGCCCAAACTTCACCTGCATGCAGCCTACTTATGTAGTTAATCCTCACCTGTACCCCACATTTCTATAATTAACCCCCCAAAAAAGCTAAGATGCTTTAAAATGGCTCCTATTTACATTGTGTATGGTCTTGCTCTGGATATTATCTGAGCTTTAAGACTACATGTTTAATTTATGAAGTTTTGTACAAGATATAAAGGGTGTTCCAGTTTGACATATTGAAATTAAAAATACAGGTTGAGCATTTCTAATCAGAAATCTGAAATGTTCCAACAATCTGAAACTTTTTTAGTTTTTTTTTTTTCTTTCTTTTTCTTTATTCGGAGTCTTGCTCTGTCGGCCAGCCTGGAATGCAGTGGCATGCTCATGGCCACCCCAGCGTCGACCAGCTGGGCTCTGGCAATCCTTCTGCCTCAGCCTTTCAAGTAGCTGGAACTACAGGCATGCACTACCACTCCCAGCTAATTTTTTTTTTTTTTTTTTAATTGTAGAGATGAGGTCTCTCCAAGATGCCCGGGCTGGTCTCGAACCAGCAGGCTCAGGCAGTCCACTCACCTTGGCTTCCCAAAGTGCTGGGATTACAGGCTGAGCCACTGAGTCTGGTCAATTTTTTAGTTTTAAACAGAAGGTCTTACTCTGTTGCCTAGACTAGAATGCAGTGATGAGATCATAGCTCACTGCAGCCTTGACCTGGGCTCAAGCAGTCCTCTTGCCCCAGCCTTCCTAAGCTGGGATTAAGGGTGTTAGCCACAGCACTCAGCACGTATAAAAGTCTGAAACTTTTTGAGCGCTGACATGATGTTCAAAGGATATGCTCACTGGAGCATTTTGGATTTCGGACTTTTTGATTAGGAATGCTCAACTGGTATAATGTAAATATGCCAAAAATCTAAAAAAAATCTGAAACTCAAAGCACTTCTGGTCTCAACCATTTCAGATAAGAGATACTCATTATATTTAAATATAATATTAGTTAAATATAGTAGTTTAACTTTTTATTTGTGGAAAGCTATTTATTTATTTATCTATCTTGAAGCAGGGTCTCTGTCACCCAGACTAGATTACAGTGGCATGATCATGGCTCACTGTAGCCTTGACCTCCTGGGCTCAAGCAATCACCCTTTCCCAGCCTCCTGAATAGCTGAGTCTACAGGCTTGTGCCACCACGCCTGATTAATTTTTTAATTTCTTTTAGAGACGAGGTTTTGCTATGTTGCCCAGTCTGGTCTCAAACTCCTGGGCTCAAGTGATCATCCCACCTAGGTCTTTCAAAGGGCTGGGATTGCAGGCGGGAGCCACCACACCTGACTGAAATTTTTTTTTTAAAGAGTAACTGTGAAGTAATTAAGAATACTCATATGACTTTTAAATGATAGTCCTTTTGATGAAATTTGTATTTTAATTTAACAGAAATACTTCAGTTGAACCAATACTTATTTAACAATAGGATAGTTATACAGGAGAAATAAAGCACAACTTTCATTACAGTAGCTTAGTTTGGTAGGAAAACAAGAAATATGCACTAAAAATAGTAGAAGGAAGTATATGAACAGAGGCCAAATGAGTGGTACAGCCTAGGTGATTGAGGCCAGCTGTGTGTGCATGAGTGGTATAGGCTAGGTAATCGAGGCCAGCTGTGTGTGAATGCGTGGCATAGGCTGAGTTATGGAGGCCTGCCATATGTGCATGAGTGGTACAGGATAGGTGATCAAGGCCAGCCGTGTGTGCATGAGTGGTCTGGGATAGGTGATCGAGTCCAACTTTGTGTGCATGAATGGTCCAGGCTAGGTGATTGAGGCCAGCCATGTGTGCCCGAGTGATACAAGTTAGGTGACCGAGGTCAGTCACATGTGCATATGTATCTTCAAAGATTTTATAGAACATATTTGAGGGATTTTTAAAGATTCATTTAGGGTTGTGATCTCATTCTTCTCTCTCTCTCTCTCTCTCTCTCTCTCTCTCTCTCTCTCTCTCTCTCTCTCTCTCTGCGCCTTCCCCCCCACACACACATTCTGCTTCCAGGAATGAAACACCTATACAGATAGAGATGTATAACATAGATATTTCAGGAAAAAAAATTTTTTTTTAAAACCCTATTGTTTGAAAGGAAGTCAAATTCAAGCATGGTCTTCAAGGAGGTGGGATGGGTAAAGGACACTTGACATAGGGAACAGAAGCATGAAGACAAGAATATGTTGATGTCCTCAATCGCATTGGAAGGATAAGGAGCTGAATTAGGAAAGACCTGAAATACCCAGCAGAAGAGTTTAGGATTTGTCTTGTTTCTTTTAAGGTGTGTGCACAGGTAACTAACAATAAAATGCTGCTTCTGGAAGAATGGATTATTACTCTTAGATATGTAGAACTCTTAGTTATGTTAATAAAAACAGGCTAAGGAAGTAGTTTTGTAGTTTTGAGCAGAGACTCTTGAAGGAAAAACTCCATAGCATGTTCTTAATGACTGTGTGTTAAAGACTGAAGATGAGGACTACTTAGATGAATTCAAGTTGACTTAGAAAGTGTACAAGAGTTTTAAAGTAGACCAGCTAGATTTTGGGAGGTGGAGGAAGGAAGTCGTTGAATTTAACTTTGCACATATTATGTTTGAGGTATTTGTAAGATATTCATAAAAGTGGACTGTAGCCAAGAAGAATATAGGACTTGGTTGAAAAGCCAAAACTGGGGAACGAGAGGTAGAGGGAAAGAAAGAATTTCTCTATAGCGAGCAGAGGAATCAGTGAAACTGTGAGTGTGAGTTAATTTTTCAGTGCCTAGAATTCTTGTTTTATTTCTTTTTATGTAGACCATGGATTCTTATGATGCACCAGAATTGACTCTTAGACAAAGTGCATTCTCAAGGCCTGAAGGTATTTGTGCCACCCCTCTGCAGAAACGATTGGAGTCAGTCAGGAAGCAGACTTCATCTGTCCCGACTCCACCCCGAAGGAGAATTCCTCAATGTCCACAAGTGCAGGTGTGCTTTGTATGTTCCTTTGTGTTAATCAGTAATTGAGAATATCTGTGAACAAAACACTTCAGTTTTTGTATCTTCTTAACCCCTCAACTAATAAACTAAATGAGAAACAATTAAAAAGACAATTATATATTATCAGCACCACTTCTTTATGTCTTTTAACCTCTTTTAATCTGGATCATTTCCACAGTATTTCTTTGTCTTTTTTGATTTTGACATTTTTGAAGAATAGAGTATGGTCTCTTCCTTTCCCCTTTTAAAAATGAAGTATTCCTTATTTTGTATTTGTCTGGTGTTTCTTCATGCATAGATTGCAGTTATACGTTCTTGCCTGGAATACTGCATAGGCACTGTTGTGTCTTTCTTCGAAAATTGCATCTGGTAGCACATAGATGATGTCAATTTTGATCTTCCTGTCAAAGAGTTGCCTGATTTCTTTAAGTTTTTTGGGTTTTTTTGAGTAAGAGTCTCACTCTGTTGCCCAGGCTGGAGTGCAGTGGCATGCTCACAGCCACTATAGCCTCGACCTGCTGGGCTCAGGCAATCCTTCCGCCTCAGCCTTCCAAGTAGCCAGAACTACAGGCGCACGCTATCACACCCGGCTAACTTTTTGATTTACTGTAGAGATGAGGTTTCATCAAGTTGCCCAGGCAGGTCTCAAACCCGCGGGCTCAGGCAATCCACTCACCTCAGCCTCCCAAAGGCGCGGGATTACAGGCTGAGCCACTGAGCCTGGCTTCGACCTGTTTTCTAAGTAGCTAAAACCACAGGCACACGCCATCACACCCGGCTAACTTTTTGGTTATCATAGAGATATGCTCTCGCCAAGTTGCCCAGGCTGGTCTTGGACCCCTCTCGCTTCAGCTTCCCAAGATCCTGGAATACAGGCATGGGCCACCGCGCCTGGTCTCTTTTGTAAGTCTTCTGCTTTTTTTTTTTCACAAGGAGGATTATTTTATTTTACTTTTGAAGATAATATGAATGACTGATAACTACATATATAAACATATTTAGCTACAAAAATACAGTGAGATGATTATCTTCTTTTGTACAAGCTTCTTATTAATATAGGCCTCCTGTGGTTTTCTGTTAAGTCAGCAAGAATTTATGGATGTCTTTTATACTGGTTCCATGTCAAATAGAACATTAAAATAAATGGGAAACAGTTAATATTTTCAGATGTTTTAATCTATGTGATACTAAAAGCCAGACGTTCGTTCTAACAGGAAAATACTGTAAATAAAAATAACAATGACAGAGAACACTTTTTCCCCCTATTCAGCAACACTTGAGAATTCTTGCATTCCTAGTAGATGAAAACTCTTCTCCATTTTTCTCCGTTTATTTTTCTATTTATTATTGGTATGGGCTCATGAATTCCAGTTCTTCAAGGACGTATAATTTTTACTAAATTATTTTGGTGTTTAAATTGTTCCAGATTTGTTTGGTGGCAACATGCTCTGTTTTGATCAAATATAACTCTGAAGGTATATAATAGCATCAGTAATTTTGAATTTTATTGAAACAGGAAATAAAATGCTACTCAATAAAAGTTTGGTGTGTGGTATTAAGTCACTTAGCTAGGGGCCTGACTGATCAATCACCATCATTATAGCTTTTTTCTCTTGCAAATGTTGTATGTCTAGTATCTCATTATACTGCTATATGATGAAACAATTTTTGCTTCTTTGTGACAGTTTTCTTAAAAATTACCAGAGCTGGTAATGTAAGTGTTGGTTCTTAACCAGAAAACATACATTTTATGTAAATTAAATATTGGAACATTCAATTCAGTGCCTCCTTATCTCTGTGATAATGATTTTTGCCATATATTTTGATATTAATAAGAAAAAAGTTTATAACTATTTCAATGAATGTTCTAGCCAGAATAAACATTTTTGTCAAATAGACAACTGTAGTGAAAGTTCTAAAAGGTAGTTGGAGCTGTGAGACTATCTCAGAAAGTATGGACAGGAAGTATGAAAGATTTGGGAGGTAACTAGGAGCCTATATGGGGGCATATGCGAAGACCTTGAGCAATGCCATGGGGCCAATACAAATGAAGTGTTTTTGTTTCTGTGGTAACTGTGGTTCTAAAAGAGTGTGGCAGAACATATATATGCCCAAGCATCTTATTTTCTTTTGGACTAGTCAAGCGCAGTAGTTGGGGGGAAAGAGTAGAACAAGGAGTTAGAACGAGGAGTTCATTTTGTAACTGGCTGTGAACAATCATTTGAGCTGGCTTACTACCTTTAGACCACCCCAAGAATCTTTTTATTTAATCTGTTGAATTAAGTGTAGGGTCATAGGATTTACTGCCAAACAATTTCTTAAATTACTTAAAACTAATCCAATTAGATTCGTTGGAAATAGTTACTATTTTCTAAATTTATAATTTGTGGTTTCTCAAAATGAAACATAAATATCTGTTACATATTTATGGAACACTTTTTCTAGATGGCATTGTTCTAGGTGTTGGAGTGGACTAAAATAGACAAAATCACTGTAGTCATCAAGTCCATACTCTAATAAGGAAGACAGACAATAGAAGTCAGACAGATATATAATGCTAGGTAGTAAAAAGTGCTTTAAGAAAAATAAGGCAGTGTAGGAGATACAGAGAGACAAAGGTGGAGTGGATGCAAGTACAAGGAGAGAGTGACCTGTTGGGTGGTGACACTGGGCCGAGAACAGAATGAAATGAGGGAATGTGCCATATGAGCACTGGGGGAAGAATATTCCAAAGGGAGGGTACAACACGCATAAAGGTCTGTCCAAGGATCTGCAGAAAGTCCTCCAAACTTTAGTTTGGCTGGAGTGCAAAAACCAGGTACCCAGTAATAGATTTGTATTAAATACTTGAAATGCTGTGATTAAATTCTTATCAATGCTTTCTAAGTCTTCTTTTGTCTTTTTTTTTTTTTTTTTAGGAAGATGTTGATCCTCAAAAGGTTGCATTCCTTCTGCATAAACAGTGGACTTTATATAGTTTAACTCCACTGTATAAATTCTCTTATACTAATCTCAAAGAGTATTCTAGACTTCTAAGTGCGTTTATTGTTGCTGAAAAACAGAAAGGACTTGCTGTGGAAGTGGGAGAAGACTTAAACATCAAAGTGATTTTCTCCATTCTTCTAGGAGTGAAAGGAACACAAAGGGACCCTGAAGCATTTCTTATCCAGGTACAGTACATCAACAGCACTTGCTTCTTAGGGAAGACGGGGAGAGGAATCTGTATTTTCTTTCTTTCTTTTTTTTTCTTGTAAGATAATTTCCTGTGCTTCATAATTTTTTTGTTGTTTTTATTTATTTCTATTTTTATTTATTTATTTATTTTTCAGTTTTTATGGTTTTATTTAAACACAAAACGTGCACGAGCTGGCTATTCATTTTTTTCACTGCACAGCCTGGCATTAGGATTGGTGACTGATAGCCAGCTGGGCTGCTCTTTTTACAATGGCTTTGCGGTTCTTGGAGGAAACATTGTGAGCAATCTCACAATAAGATTTGTTGCACATCAGCAGCATTTCCAGCTCCTTGATGTTGTGGACCAGGAACTTCCGGAAACCACTAGGCAGCATGTGCTTTGTTTTCTTGTTCCTCCCATAACCAATGTTGGGCATCAAGATTTGACCCTTGAATCTTCTACACACCCTGTTGTCGATACCTCTGGGCTTCCGCCAGTTACGCTTAATCTTGACATATCGGTCTGACTGGTGCCAGATGGACTTCTTGGTCCTCTTTTTGACGATCTTGGGTTTCACCAGGGGTCTGAGGGCAGCCATGATGCCGGGTAGGTGATGGCTGCCACCTCGGTAGTTATTTATTTTTTAAGATGTGGGGTACAATTCAGGATTAGATATACAAATGATCATCGTACAGGTGAAGTTTGGGCCTCCCTTTGGTCCCCACTTCCCTGGTTTGAGATCAAGTCCTTATTGATGTTATGTATCCCCACTCCCCGCCCCCGGCAGTGTCCCATTATAGCCAATTCCTTTCTTAGAGTATTATGGTAAACGTTCAGGGTCTGCTTATGAGTGATGCATTTTCTTGATCTGGGAATTTTTCTTTTTTAAAAGTTTTTCTGGCTACAAGTTTATTCTACACAAAATAAACCCTTCCAATTTTACTGAGGTGGCTGATCACATCCATGACCAAATCAACCTCTAAACTGGAATTCAGCTGACCCAGCCCCAGCCTCAGCTTTCTTGTCAGCACCAGGGGACACAGCACTCTGTCTGTAGGTGTCTCTGTCAGCTTCCCCTTGTGAGTCTTGCAGGTTATTCACCCTCCAGACCTTTGGGCCGAGGTCTGCCAGTCGCTGGATGGCTGCAGCGCAGGGTAGCTGGCACAATCTCAGGGGGCAGGTGGAGGCAATCACGTAGATATCGAATACCCTCTTTGGTAAGGTACCGGTGGAAACGTCTCCAGGCAAACTATTCCTTCATGTAGCCTCAAGACTTAAAAGACTTTATGGCCTTCATGATGTGAAGGTTGGGCACATTCTTGTCAGCCAACTCTGGGTGCTTAGGCATATGGACATCCTTTGGCCACCATCACTCCCTCCTTAAAAAGGAGTTCATAGATGGCAATCTGGTTCTTCTTGGGCATCAGCATCGCGGTGGCTGCTGGTATTTTCTTACTGTTTTTTAAATTCCTAAGCTTGTGATTTATAACATTTTTTTGTCTTGTTTGACTAAATTATAATAAGATTTTGCTAACTTAAAACATTTTTTTCTATATACAGGTAGGATGTATGGGGGTGTATGAAATCATATTTTTTGTTTTTTGTGTTTTTGAGTTGGAGTCTCACTCTTCATCCCCCAGGCTGGAGTACAGTGGCATGTCACTTGACCTGCTGGGCTCAGGTGATCCTTCTGCCTCAGCCTTCCAAGTAGCAGGAACTACAGATGCATGCCACCATGCTTGGCTAGTTTTTTTGTGATTTATTGTAGATATGAGTTCTCACCAAGTTGCCCTGGCTGGTCGCGAACATGTTTATTTTATTTTATTTTATTTTTTGAGTTGGAGTCTTACTCTGTCACTCAGGCTGGAGTGCAGTGACCCAGGCTGGGGTGCAGTGGTAAGCTCACGGCCACCCCAATGTCGACCTGCTGGGCTCCAATGATTCTTCTGGTATTTACTTTTAAAACCCTAGAAAATATGTAAAAGTACAAAAAAATTAATCATAGTTTAACACTTTGGTACACATTTATTTTGGTTATCTGTATTTGGTTATCTATATAGTCCTAAAATTGGAATTGCACTGCCCATATTTTTTGCATTATAGAATTTTTACTAATTAATATTGCAGATAATTCCTTGTGTCATCAGAAATTCTATATTTTTGTAGCTTATCTGTATAATTCTATGATTTTTACTAGAATTAATGTCCTATAAGTAGAATTTTAGTTAAATAAGATATATTACATATGATATTTCAGGCCAACCTACTCCCAGAAATATAGCATTTTGCATTCTTTTCTGTAGGTAGTACATAAAAGTAATAGGATTGATGAAGAAACCAGATTTGTATTGTTTATTATTCATGCCTGCTGCTTCTGGTTCTTCTGAGTTAATTGTAGTCATTGATAAGGAGACTAATTTCTCAGACAGTTGAAAAGGACTAACATTCTTGTTTGTATAGATGAGGAATCAGTAAGCTATGACCTGTAGCGCAGTCTGACCTGCTGCTTGTTTTTGTAAATAAAGTTTTATTGGAACATCACCCCTTTCAATTGCTCATGGGTATTGTGGGACTGCCTTTGGACTATAGCAACAGAGCTGAGTGGTTGCAGCAGAGATCATAAGGCTTGCAAAGCCTGGAGTGCTTACTGTCTGGCCCTTTGCAAAAAACGTTTGCTGACAGCTGGTACAGTCATGGTATTGGCAAGATCCCAAGTTGTTCAGGAATTAGATTCAGTTTAAATAATGGTGGCTTAAACAAGTAAAGGCTTATTTGTTTTACAAAAGAAAAAAGATACATGGAGGCAAGCCATCCAGGGCTAGTATGATGCATGATTAAATCAACAATCTAGGCTCCTCCTGTCTTTCTTCTCTGTCTTCTGTAGCTCTAGACCTTATGTGCTTTCTTTCTTAAATTTTTTACCTTATAGATGTGGAGTACAATTCCAGGTTAGGTATACAAATGTTCATTATACAGGTACCCTTGTTGATGAGGTGTGCTTCCCCCCAGCAGATTCCCGCTACTGCCAATCCCTTTCTTATAATATTATGATAATAGTTCAAGGTCCACTTATGAGTGAGAGCATGTGGTACTCAGTTTTCTGTTTCTGTATTAGATCACTGAGTATGATAGACTCTAAATCCATCCAAGTTGCTGTCAAGTCTATGTGTTTGTCCTTCTTTACGGCTGCATGATATTCCATTGTGTAAATGTATCGCATTTTTTTATCCAGTCCAGCTTTGATGGGCAGCATGGTTGGTTCCATGTTTTTGCTATTGTGAATAGAGCTGCAGCAAACGTGCATGTGCAGGTATCTTTTTGGTAGAATGACTTGAGTTCCTCCAGGTATAATCCCAATAGGGAGATTGCTGGGTCATATGGAAGGTCAGTTTCTAGTTCTTCCAGAAATCACCACACTGTCTTTCAAAGAGGATACGCTAGTTTGCATTCCCACTAGCAGTGTAGAAGCATTCCTTTTTCTCCACATCCTCGCCAGCATCTGTTGTTGTTTGTTTTATTAATGATGGCCATTCTTCAGGGGTTAGGTGATATCTCAATGTGGTTTTGATTTGCATTTCTCTGGTGATGAGTGAGGCTGAGCACTTTTTATGTGTCTGTTGGCTGCCCGTATATCTTCTTTTTGAGAAGTTAGACCTTATGTTCAAGGTCCAGGCAGGAAGTGGAAGAAAATGAAAAGGACAGGCAGAGGACCTGATACAATAAATTTTATGAGACTTGATAATGTCCATTTACATTCATATGGGAAGGGAGGCTGGAAAAAAAAATTTTTTTTAAGTGGGTACTTTGTCACCGCAAGTAAAGGAATTATTTTATTTTAGAAATGAATGCTAGATAGATAATTAGCAATCTGTCAAGTAAAGCGGCTGTCAAGTGATGCTGAGAAGTTTTGTGACTTGGCATGTCATCAGTCAAGCAGATATTCATGTGAGGGTTAGAAATGTCCTCTTGAGATGAAAAAAATGTCCTCTTGAGCTAAAGTTTGTGAATCTGAAACAAAGGCTTCCTGGCCCATGCTGTGCACTGTCCCTAGGGCTCCCCAGCCTCCACTCAACACAGCCAGTACTGGATTGCGGTGCTGCATGGAGAGATGAGTTCTCGCTATGTTGCCCAGACTGGTCTCAAACCTGCGGGCTCAGGCAATCCTCTCGCCTCTGCCTCCCAGAGTGCCAGGATTACAGGCAGGAGCCACCACTGCTGGCTGTCACGTCTGAAGGCTGCGTGACCACCAGCACCTGCTTCCTCTGAACGATGTGTACTACATGACCACCAGACTTCAGCAACAGGGCATAAGAGGGACCCACAGAAAGAACAAGTTGAATATTTTTGTCATCTGCAAATAATTTTACCCAAGTGGCTAGTGTATGGACTGTGGAGTAAGAAGAACCTGCTTCTGCCTCTAAGTTAGGAGTCTCACTCTGTCGCCCAGGCTGGAGTGGAGTGCATGATCACAACCACTGCAGCCTTGACCTACTGGGCTCAGGCAATCCTTCTTCCTCAGCCTTCCAAGTAGCTGGAACCACAGGTTCTAATCTATAGGAACAAGACATTTTCGATAACGGAAGAAGGAAATTCCATGCTTGGGAGATCACTGTTTCTGGTAGTAGCCTGACATGCGATACCTGATCACAGCTTCCGAGCAGGTTCAGTATAGACAGAAGACAGAGCACACTCCATAGTTGCTAGCCCTTTCTTAAGAACAGAAGAAAATGACCAAGGCCCAGGGATCATTATCCTTTGAAGATATGGCTGTGTACTTCACCAGGGAGGAGTGGCAGCTTTTGGACCCAACTCAAAAGGTCCTTTACAAGGAGGTAATGTTGGAGAACTATGGCAACCTTGTATCAGTAGGGTATCAAGGTACCAAACCAGATTCACTCTTTCATTTGGAGCAAGGAGAACCCCCATGGATAGTAGAAGCAGCAGCCCATAGTCAAAAGAGTCCAGGTTTTGTTATCCTGAGTAGAAGATATGTGGTAAAGGATTCTGATGACTTTGGTGGATATGGGAAGTCATGTCTCTGTGTTAAGCATGACAAAACTCTTAGCGGAATTAAATGCCACAAATGTGTTAACCCCAATAACACTAAATCACAGCTCAATGACTATCAAAAATGTATACAGGAGAGAAACCATAGAATGCAGTGAGTGTGGGAAAGTCTTTTCCAGGAAAGCACAGCTCATTAGACATCAAAGAACTGAAAGAGGAGAGAAACCCAGTGGAAGCAATGAATGTGGAAAAACATTCATGAGAAAGGTTCAGCTCACTGAACATCAGAGAACTCACAGAGGAGAGAAACCCCATGAATGTAATTAGTGTGAAAAATCCTTCTCCAAAAAGTTCCTTCTCATGGCACGTTAGCGAACTCATACAGGAAAGAAATCATATGGATGCAGTGAATGTGGGAAAGCCTTTTCTTTTTCCCAAGAGGTATATCTCACTGTATACCAGCAACTTCACACAGGAGAGAAGCCATATGAATGCAGTGAGTGTGGGAAAACCTTTTTCCAAAAGATATGTCTAATTCTACACCAGAGACTTCACACAGGAGAGAAGCCATATGAATGCAGTGAGTGTGGGAGAGCCTTCTATAGGAAAGCACAGCTCATTAGACATGAGAAAACCCAGAGAGGAGAGTAACCTCATGGATGTAATGAGTGTGAGAAAGCCTTCTCCAGAAAGTCCCTGCTCAGGGTACATCAGCAAACTCATGCAGGACAGAAACCGTACGGATGCAGTGAATGTGGGAAAGCCTTAAGTAAGAAGTCCCAGCGCACTAGACACTGGTGATCTCGCACTGGAGAGAAACCCTATGGATGCAGTGTACATGGAAAAGCCTTTTCCCAAAAAAGCATATCTCACTCTACACCAGAGACTTCATACAGGAGAGAAACCATATGAATGCAGTGAGTGCAGGAAAACCTTTTACAGGAAATCACATCTTGTTAGACATCAAAGAACCGAAAGAGGAGAGAAACCCCATTGATGCAATGAATGTGGAAAAACCTTCATGAGTAAGATTCAGCTTACTGAATATCAGCGAACTCATACAGAAAAGAAGCCTTATGAATGTACCGAATGTGGAAAAGTCTTTTCCCAAAAGGCACAACTCACTCTACACCAGAGAGTTCATACAGAAGAGAAGCGTTATGAATCCACTGAATGTGAAAGAACCTTCTGTATTAAGTCAGAGCTTCCCAGACATCAGAGAATTCATACAGGAAAGAAACCTTATGAATGTAATGAGTGCAGCAAAGCCTTTAGAGGCAAGTCGGAGCTCATTCGGCATCTGCAAACTCATACTGGAGAGAGACTGTATTCATGCAGTAACTGTGACAAAACCTTCGAGCAGAAGTCCATGCTCGATGCACTCCAGTGATCTCATGCTGGAGAGAAACGCTATGGATGCAGTGTGTGTGGGAAAGCCTTTTTCCAAAAGCCATATCCCACTGTACACCAGAGACATCATAGAGGAGAGAAGCCATATGAATGCAGTGTGGGAAAGCCTTCCCCAGGAAAACAGATTCTATTAGACATCAAAGAACTGAAAGAGGAGAGAAACCCCATGGATGTGATGAATGTGGAAAAACATTCAGTAGGAAGATTCAGTTCACTGAACATCAGGAAGATTCAGTTCACTGAACATCAGAGAACTTACACAGGAGAGAAACTCCATAAATGTAAGGAGTGCAACAAAGCCTTTACTTGCAAGTCACTCAGCATCTGCAAACTCATATTGGGTAGGGACCTTGTTCATGCAGTGAATGTGGTAAAGCCTTTGCCCACAAGTCAGTCCTTGTTGAACATAAGAAAATTCACACAGAAGAGAAAGCTATACATTCACTGAAAGTGGAATGACCTTCCTTAGGGAGTCATACCTCTTTATACATGAATAAACTCATGCAAGAAGAAAACGCTGTGAACACAGTTCCTGTGGAAATGCCTTCTTCAGGTACCTAGCTCTTATTAAACATCAGTGAACTTCTAGGGGGTTGAAATATAGTTAATTGTGGAATAGACTTTTCCAAGAAGTCAAGTCTTAGTAGCTAATCAGGAATTTGAACAGGGAATAAGCCTTGCAAATTAAGTGAATGTGATCCCTTCAGTAATAAGATGTGTTACAGATGTTGTTCAGAAAAAAAAATCCTGTGATAGCAGAAAGGTGGCAAAGTCTTAAGCTAGACTCTTTCAACCATTATATGTCAAAGAGCTCACTTGGGGAAGAGATACTGAGTGCAGAAGTTGAAGAGGATACCTTTCTGAGAAGTTAGATTTATTAAACGTCAGTGCAGTCATATTGGGTAGAAATGCAGCTGTTATGGGGAAGCCTTAGCCTGAAGGTAATATCTCAATTGGTATAAATTCTTAGAGTAATATTCAGAAAGTGGTGTGTGGTGTTTTTAGTGCTAAATTGTACTTCATTGTTTGTCAGAGAAAGTGCCTTTAGAGACAGTAGATACAGAAAATATTTTTAGTAAAATATGGGAGAATTTATTATACAAAATAGAATTGCTTAAAAGCAAGAAATAAAGGAAATTCACCAAAAAAAAAAAAAAAAAAAAGAAAGAAAGAAAGAAAGAAAAGAAACAAATGGCTCTTGAATTCCTGGTATAGTGTTCAAATCATTTTCAGATTAAATCTTATTTCTCGATGGGGTTACAGGACTTGAAAGTATGTCAAACATTTCTAGGCTTCAAAGTGTTTGAAGGTCTTTCATAATTTCTTGACCAAGAAGAAATATGGTAAAAATAACTGTTTAAGTGATCATCTGTAAAGGGGTTTTATGCAGGTCTGTGATCCTCACCTTGGCCTGGTCAGTGCTTTAACAAAAACTTCTGTGAGTATCTGGAAGCCATGTTTGTCATGTAATTTACAAATGTAAATAAAGTTTGAGGAGTTAAGCAATCAACCAGAAATATAATCAAGATCGTAAACAATCTAAGTGGATTGTACAATGAGCCAAATTGAAAGAGATTAAAATTTTAGTAGGAGTAAGTTTATTGTCTGATAGAAGTTCAGGGAAGATTTACCTATTAACAACAAAACTGAATGTGTAGAGCTAATTTATATAGAGCTATGAACTAAAAGCCAGAAAATTGAAATCTGAGATTATGTTAATAGGAGTCTTGCACCAGCCTTTTTTTGTTGGTTTGCTTATTTGTTTGTTTGATTGGTTGGTTGTTTTGAGTTGTGAGTCTCACTCTGACACCCAAGTTAGAGTGTAGTGATATAATCATAGCTTGCCGAAGTCTTGACCTCCTGGGCTCAGGCAATCTTTATGCCTCAGCCTCCCAAGTAACTGGGAGTACAAGTGTGCATTACCACATCTGGCTACATTTATTTTTTTTTTTTTAGAGACAAGATCTCACTATGTTGCCCAGGCTGGTCTCATACTCCTGGACTGAAGCAATCCTCTTGCTCAGATCCACAGTGCTCAGATCATAGCTGTTAGCCACTGCGTCCAGCCTCATCAGGCATTTTTGAAATCATTATGTCCACTTGTGAATGAATCCTATTGTTAGGGTCTATGTGGGCTGGTGCCGTGGGAATAAAGCAAAGATTTGCAAAAGTAAAGCAAAAGAATTTATTTCCACTCAAGGGAACATGGGAACGACACTAAGAGGTAGTGCGACAAGGAGGGTTGAGGAAGGAGGACTTTTAAAGTTTTAATCAAGGCGACAGGATAAAGAAAACTTCCAGCAGCTGCATTTCTGAGTATTGATGACACCACTCTTGTGTCCTGTGACTTCAGGGCCTTCAGCCTCTGGTGGGTTGATGGGCAGTCACGAAAGGGTGATTACAGTTAGGTCAGTTTAGTCCTGTATGGCTTTTAAAAAAGGCCTAGAATCGTTATACTTGAGATGCAAAACAGTTATTAATAACTGCCTCCAGAAAGGCGGTCTGTGCTTGGCTAATGATTAGGAAGTGGGGATTGGGACAGACGGCTAGTAAAGTATGACAAAGCTGACAAAGCTTAAGCAATTTTTTTTTTTTTTGAGTTGGAGTCTCATCCTCACCCAGGCTGGAGTGCAGTGGCACGTTCTCGGCCATCACAGCCTAGACCTGCTGGGTTCGGGTGATCCTTCTTCCTCAGCCTTCCAAGCCGCTGGAACTACAGGCGCGTGCCCAGCTAATTTTTTATTTTCTTGTAGAAATAGAGGTCTCACCAAGTTGCCCAGGTTGGTCTTGAACCCATGAGCTCAGGCAATCCTCTCACCTCAGCCTCCCGAAGTGCTGGGATTATAGGCATGAGCCACCATGCCCGGCCTAGCTTAAGCAAGGTTACAGTGACTGTTCTTTAGCTAAGTTACTGTTTAACTTCACCCTTTCACCTATGCAGAAGGATTTTAGAGTGATAAGAATAGTGAGAGAACAAGAACATATGCCATGGGAGGAATGACTGAAGAAATCGGAGATGCCGAACATGGCAGCAAATGTGATAGGAACCATCTAGTAGTTGAAGGGCTTTTCCTGTGGAAGAGAGGTTAGATTTGATATGCTTAGATTTGATTGTCCAAAAGGAAAACACGTGTCCAGTGTGTGAAAACCAAAGGAAATAACATGAAAGAATGTTTTAATTTTATGGACATCACTGTGTTAGGAAATACTGAAGTCTTTCTCAGTGGAAGAATCAGGCATGCTACGTCTGGTGACTTTTTCAGTCCCTTCTAAAGCTGAGAGGTTTTTTTCAGGATACTATACTGGCTTACTGTATTGGCATCTCATATTTTACATTTTGGTTGTACCAAGATCTTGCCTTATACCGTGTTTTCACTGTGTAAGATATTGGGGCAAAGGTCAAATATTTTGATAAATCCTGATAATGATTAAGGAGACTATTCCCTCTGTGTTTTAGCAGGGATAACATCAGATCATCTTATTTTTAATGAACTAATTTAGAGAAGATGTAAATTGTGAGGAAATGTACTTTTGAACTTAATGAATTTATTTTACTTTCCTTCATAGATTCTGTCAAAATCTCAATTCCCATCTGAGAACAGAGAAGGTAAAGTGTTGTGGACTGGTTGGTTCTGCTGTGTATTTGGAGACAATCTTCTGGAGACTGTTTTAGAAGATTTCACCTGTCTACCCTTATTTCTTGCAAATGGATCAGAGTCTAATACAGCCATAATCAGAACTTGGTTTCAGAAAACCTTTGACTGTTATTTCAGTCCTTTAGCAATCAACGCGTTTAATCTTTCCTGGATGGCTGCTATGTGGACTGCGTGCAAAATGGACCATTATGTGGCTGCTACTGAATTTCTTTGGTCTGTACCCTGTAATCCTCAAAGTCTGAACATTTCTTATGCAATACACCCGGAGGATGCAAAAGCTTTGTGGGACAGTGTCCACAAAACGCCTGGGGAGGTTACCCAGGAGGAGGTTGACTTGTTCATGGACTGCCTTGGTTCGCATTTTCACAGGCATTTCAAAATTCACTTATCAGCCACAAGATTGGTTTGTGTTTCAACATCTGTCGCTTCAGCCCATACTGACGGGAAAATAAAGGTTAGTTTGAATAAATCTAGTTAAGTAATTTTTCCATCATTGCAGGCTCTCAGAATGTATGATGATGGTAGGAGTTTGAGACTAGCCTAAGCAACACAGTGAGACCTGGTCTCTACAAAAAAAAGAAAAAAACACAGACAAAAATTAGCTAGGCGCAGTGGCTCAAGCCTGTAATCCCAGCACTTTGGGAGTCTAGGGCAGAAGGATTGCTTGAGCCTAGGAGCTTGGGACCAGCCTAGGCAACATAGCAAGAACTTGTCTCTACAAAAAAATTGAAAAATTAGTCAGGTGTGGTAGCTTGTGCCTGTAGTCCTAGCTACTCAGGAACCTGAGGGCGAAGGATCACCTGAAGTTGCTGTGAGCTGTGATCATCGTGATCCTGCCACTGCACTCCTCCAACCTGGGTGACAAAGTGAGACCCTGACTTTAAAAAAAAAAAAGTACAAGTGTTGTCCACATTGAAGAAACATATTTGAATGTATGCTAATTCAAGACAGTAGAGATACTCTATTATAGCCTTTATGAATGATTTACAGAAGACCTTAGCCTTCTAGATGCAACCTTCTAGTGGAAGGATACCATATGCTGTGTGCTGCAGACATTGGTAATATGAATTATTATTCTGTAGTAACTTTGAAATGGCCAAAATTGTGTATTTAATTTTGAAATGATTATCAGAGTAACAGAATTTTATATGTTAGATATAGAGAGTTATAGCCAAAAACACAGAACTAAGATGTTATCCTTATATTCTAGACTTTTCTGTCTCCATTATTCTCTATGAAGTACTTATCACAAAGAAGTAGCAGAAATAAATTGAGAGTTCACTACTAAAGTAGATTAAAATACACAGCCACAATATACACTCAATGAATATTTCTCATGGTCTTGTCACTGGTAGGAATTTTACAGACCTTAATTCTAATCTTTAGAACAACTCTGTAGTGAAGTGTTTTTATCCTCTTTTTTGGTAGAGACAGGCTCTGGCCCATGCTGGTCTTGAACTCCTGGCCTCAAGCTATCCTTCTACCTCAGCCTCCCAAAATGCTGGGATTGCAGGTATGAGTGACCATGTTTGGCCCACATTTTATTTTAAAACAAGGAAACAGGCCAAGGTAGGTTTAAGTGACAAGCAAGATAAATCATGAGAGGAGAAGTCAACATTAGAACTCTTCTCTAGGTTCCAAGAAACCCATATTATATATATAAGCACTATATTTGTGCTTTTCAAACTGGAGGTCACAATGCAATAGTATGTTGGGAAATAATTTTAATGGGAAGACACCTGCTTTAAAAAACAAAAAACCAGCCTGGTCCGGTGGCTCATACTTTGGGAGGTGGAGGCAAGAGGATAGCCTGAGTCTAGGGATTCAAGACCAGCCTGGGCAACTTGGCGAGGTCTCGTCTCTACAATAAATCAAAAAATTAGCTGAGTGTGGTGGCACACACCTGTGGTTCCAGCTACATGGAAGGCTGAGGCGGAAGAATCATCTGAGCCCCACAGGTTGAAGCTGCAGTGGCCTTGAGTGTGCTACTGCACTCCAGCCTGGGAGACAGAGTGAGACTCCTACTCAAAAAAAAAAAAAAAGAGAAGGAAATAAAATAGAAAATATAAAAATGAGTGCATTGAATGTGGCAAGCTTAATGAACTAAAGCCAGAAATTTGGCCGTGGTAACATTGATTATTCAAACTGCTTTGTTATAGTCATTAATACATGCTCATTTTAAATGTCTTTTTTCTTTTTTGCAGATTCTGTGTCATAAATACCTTATTGGAGTGTTAGCCTATTTGACAGAACTGGCAATTTTTCAAATTGAGTGAGGCCTTGTGTGGACTGTAACTTACGGATGACATACCCTTTGTCATGAATTATTTGCCTAATTGCTACTCTGTATCTGTTTTCTCCACTGTGCCTTTGGAGTTACCCAGATGGAAGCCAAGAAGGATCCAGAAGAACAAAGAATGGGGTAGTAGATGAGCCACAGCTAGGTTGTATCCATGCTGGTCTGGCATGCCACTCTCAGAATGTGTTGCTAACTCATTGGTCATCTTTTAAAATATATATAATGTTTATTATGTCAAACTTTTAGTATTCAAATTAGATGTATCTAATATTGGGTACTTCTGATGTGGGTCTTAAAAGCTTTTTAAGCATTTTAAGCATTTTAGACTTGCATTAAAAAAGAATTCTGTTTTTTTTCTTATTTATTTTATTTTATATTTTATAATAGAGATGAGATTTTGCTATGTTGCCCAGGTTAGTCTTGAACTCCTGACTCAAGCGATCCTCTCACCTTGGCCTCCCAAAGTGCTGGGATTGCAGGCCACTGAGCCTGGCGAAATCCTGTCTTTTAAAGACATTTTCTAACTACATTTCACTGTAGAGAACTAGTAATCAAAATTCTCTTAACAGGAAACTAAAGGTTATATATTATATTCTTTTTTTTTTTTTTTGAGTTGGAGCCTCTCTTCGTCACCCAGACTGGAGTGCAGTGGCACGCTCCCAGCCACTGCAGCCTCGAGCTGCTGGGCTCCGGCGATCCTTCCAAGTAGCTGGAACTACAGGTGCACGCTACCACACCCAGCTAATTTTTGATTTATTGTAGAGATGAGGTCTTGCTAAGTTGCCCAGCCGGTTCTTGAACCCGCGGGCTCAGGCAGTTCACTCACCTCAGCCTCCCAAAGCGTGGGATTACAGGCTGAGCCACCGAGCCTGGCTTATTCTTTTAGCCACTAATATACTTCTGTTTTTAATACCATTCAACTCCTGTTGCAATGTCAGATTAAATGTTTACTTTTAAAATGAAGTGGTGTGTTTGGGTGTCTTTATGACATCTTTTAACTAATGTCTTTGGTGGAAAGTGGTAGACTTTTTTCTCTAGCACAAAGGGTACAAACCAACAATTACAGAAAACCATACAAATGGTAGAGGTGAGTGGCATCTCTGAACCCCTTTTGAAGGTAAAACTTATCTTGGCTTAACCTTCATCTCCCTATTTTAGCACAATACCTGGTAAATCTGTAGAATATGTGGATTTCGACCAGCTCTTCCATTTTACAGATGAAAACTGTAAGATCAAGCAACTTAGACTTGCCCATGGTGTTCTCTCTCATTCTCCTCTTTTTACTGAGCATAAGATTTTGTTTTACTTTATTATTGCTATTATTTTTGGCATTGGAATCTCACTCTTTTGCCCAGGCTAGAGTGCAGTGTCATGATCATGGCTTACCACAGCCTCGTTCTGGGCTACAGTGATTCTTCTGCCTCAATCTCCTAAGTAGCTGGAACAGAGCACACCACCATGCCCAGCTGATTTTTTTGTAGAGACGAGGTCTTGCTATGTTGTCTAGGCTGGTCTTGAACTCCTGAGCTCAAGCAGTCCTCTCATCTCGACCTCCTTAAATGCTGAGATTACAGATGTGAGCCACCATACTTGGCTTTGTTTTGCTTTAGAAACAATGTTTTTAAACATCTTACTTGAAAGAAAATGACTTTTTTCTTGAGTCGGGGTCTCACTCTGTCTCCCAAGCTGGAGTGCGGTGGCACAATCATGGCTCATCACAGCCATGACCTCCTGGGCTCAGGCAATCTTTTCACCTCAGCCTCCCAAGTAGCTGGGACTACAATTGCACACCATCATGCCTGGCTAATTTTTTCATTTTTTTGTAGAAATATGGTCTTGCTATGTTTCCACGGCTGGTTTCAAACTCCTGGACTCAGGCCATCCTCTGCCTCAGCCTCCCAAAGTGCTGGAATTGCAGATGTGAGCCACTGCACTGGATCTGAAAAATAACTTTTTTTTTTTTTTTTGGAGTCAGGTTCTCACCCTGTTGCCCAGACTGAAGTGCAGCCTCAGCCTCCTGTCCCTAGTTAATCTTTCCACATCAGCCTCCTGAGTAGCTGGGACTACAGGCATGTACCACCATGCCTGGCTTATCTTTTTTATTTTTTATTTTTGGTAGAGACTTGCTATGTTGCCCAGTTGCCCAGACTGGTCTCAGACCCTGGCTCAAGCAGTCCTACTGACTCAGTCTCTCAACTGAAAGTAACTTTGATAGGCTGTCATTTTCAAAACAAAGATTAACTTCTGGAATAGAATAGGGTACTATTTTGGGTATAGTAGGAGCAGCAAAGGTAGCGCAGAAAGCATGGGCTTTGGAGTCAAACATCATTCCTTCAACAAGTAGAGTAAGTTCCCTACATAGAAACCTTCAAGTTGTGAACTTTCAAAGATAGGAATGTGCATTCACATTATTTGAGGAGGCACTGTTAGTTTTTTGAGGCACAGGACTTGAAAGTAGAATGGTGCATGAAGTTGCAGCAGCTGTTCAGAATGTAATCCAGTGCTCCCGTGTCATCTATGACAAGGAAAAAGAAGAGCTATTATCTAGACATCACTGAATTGTTCTTCCAAGAGGGCAGGTGAAATTGAATACAGCACAGAACCAGAACCTGTGTCATGAGCATCAGGTGTGAGTGAAACTGCAGGTTGCCCTCCGTATCCTGTTGCTGATGGTCCTACAGCTCTACCCTCTCCCACCTCCTCTCCCTCTTCTAGCCAGTAATTCTTAGTGCCTGTTCACTCAATGCCAGCTCCTGTATGCCAGCTTTTGTACTATGTTTTACTACTGTGCTTTCCAAGCTGCTGTACTGTAAGGTTAAAAATGTTTTCTTCATTTTTTTGGTATTCTTTGTGTGAAAAGTATTATAAACCTATTACAGTACAGTACTGTATTGGCAATTATCTTAATGGGGTACCTAGGCTAATTGTTGGACTTACAAACGTACTCTTAGAATGGAACTTGTTTATGTAGGGGACTTACTATATTAAGCTCCTACCATGTGCTTAGAATTGCATTGGGTAATAGGGATATAGCAGTGAAGAAGACAAAAAAGTTTGTCCTGTGAAAATTATATTCTCGTGAAAGAAGGCAAAAGATAAGTAATTTTAGATGGAGACAAATGCTGTGAAGAAAATAAGGCAGTGCATCATGCAAAGGGTGAGTAGAGTGGGGGCCTGCGTTACGTCCAGTCCTGAAAGCAGGCCTCTCTGAGGAAATGATTACTGAGTCCTGAGTGCGAGAAGGAGGCAGCCCTGACAGGGCCTGAGGAGGGTGTGCTGGGCTGGGCTGGGCTGGGCTGGGCTGGGCTGGGCTGGGCTGGTGAAACCGTGAGAGCAAGGGCCTTGATAGGCAAGCACGTGGCCTGAGGAACAAAGGCATTCTTGTGACAGGCCGTTAGCAGGGGCATATGGAGTGCTGTGAGATGAAGCTGAAGAGGTTGTGACGACTTCCCTGCTGTCATATCACCCAGGTTTTGGCTGGAGCACCTGGCTGTCTGGAGTAAAGAGGATGTTTTCCAGCCTTCAGGGGTAGTTATATGAGTGGGTTCTGAGCCGTGGGTACTCCTGGAGGTGTCCTGTGGAGCTTCCAGGAGTCTTCCCTAAGTACTGGCATGCAGTGCTTTTCTTATCCGTCCCTTCTTCCAACTTCGCTGTCTGGACCGATGATATAATGACTGGTCTTCTAGCCCTTTTTTAGGTCATGCGGATGAGGGTCAGTTGCTAGGGATGGCAGAGCATGAGCTGACAGGAGCTTGTGCCTTGAGCATTTCTTGAAGCTGAACCCCAGTCTTGGACAGTTTTCCTCCAGACTTTCAGTAGTGAGGCTGCAAGCATGCTACAGCGCTCCAGCTGTGTGATGGAGTGAGACTCTAACTTAAAAGTTAGCAAGATTGCCATTGTCTTACTAGACTCTGGTGTGTCCATGTACTCTTTGAGCTATGGCCATCACCATGTGCTTTGGCCCCCTCCTTTACCTTGGGGAGGTGAATCTCCTCTCTCTCGCTCTCTAATTTACTTTCCAAATAAACTACATTTTCTAATCTAAAAAATAAAAGTTAGCAATATTGAGCAAAATTGTGTGTGCATTTACCCTTTGATCAGCAATCTAACTTCTAGGGTTTGTTTGTTTGATTTTTTTGTTGAGTTGGGGTTGCCCAGGCTAGAGTGCTATGGCACGCTCACAGCCACTGCAGCTTTGACATGCAGGGCTCAAGTGATCCTTCCGCCTCAGCCTTCCAAGTAGCTAGAGCTACAGGTGCTAATTTTTTGATTTATTGTAGAGACAAGGTCTCACCAAGCTGCCCAGGCTGGTCTCAAACTCCTGAGCTCAGGCAATCCTCCTGCCTCAGCTTCCCAAAGTGCTGGGCTTACAGGCTTGAGCCAATGTGCCCGGCCTTCTTTATTGCTTTTTATTTTTATTTTTTATATTGGAGTCTCACTCTGTCACCCAGGCTGGAGTGCAGTGACATGCTCAAGGCCACCACAGTCTCGACCTGCTGGGCTCAGGCGATCCTTCTGCCTCAGCCTTCCAAGTAGCTGAAACTATAGGCGTGCGCCACCACCCCAGCTAGTTTTTTGATTTATTGTAGAGACGAGATCTTGCCAAGTTGCCCAGGCTGGTCTGGAACCCCTGGGCTCAGACAATCCTCTCGCTTCCACCTCCCAAAGTGCTGGGATTACAGAGGGATATTTTTCCACTTAGGTCTTTAAGTATTTTATTCTTTTTGATGCTATTGAGAATGGTTTTTTAAAATTTAATTTTCAGCCAGGCTTGGTGGCTCAGCCTGTAATCCTGTGCCTTGGGAGGCTGAGGTGAGTGGATTGCCTGAGCCCACAAGTTCGAGACCTGTCTGGGCAACTTGGTGAGACCTCATCTCTACAATAAAAAAAAAAATAGCTGGGTGTGGTAGCGCACACCTGTAATTCCAGCTGCTTGGAAGGCTGAGGGGGAAGGATCTCCGGAGCCCAGCAGGTGGAGGCTGTGGTGGCCAGGAGCGGCCACTGCACTCCAGTCTGGGCAATAGAGTGAGACTCCAACTCAAA